CAGATAGTCTCTGTGTTTCTTCTAGTTTCTGACAGTAACAGCTAGAGTACAGGGCGAGCTCATTTTCTCAGCATTCAGAGCAAAGCAGACAGCCTTCCTCTGAAAAATGAAGGGTCATCTTTGTTCTGCTATTCTCTCTCATCCGTCCTCTTCTGCTCGTCCCCGAATTTGCCGAGCGGAACCGGCGGGGCCGCCTCTGGGGGGGGGGGGGTTAGTCGACGAGGCAGAGTGTTTCTGCACAGTCACAGTGTGTGGAAGTTGTAATTAAAGAACTAAATAAGAAACAGAAAGGCGGCGGCCTGCTCGCTCCTCTCAGCGAGGCTCCAGGCCCGGGCTAATTGACGGTGTGGGTGATCCAAGTCCTACGCCACACTTCATCTTCTCAAGAGTCTGAAGCTTTTGAGTTTAGTTCCATAAAAATGTTTGTCTTTGTGTTGAGAGAGCATGACTTGTCCGTGCTTCGTAAGCATGTGGTTCATCTAGCATGATCGACCATTGCCTCACTTTTTATGACAGTTGCACAAGAGCAAGCCCAGTGACTGTGGTGTTATCAGATGGTGTACTTAGAAGTGAAATAGACACTGTCAGACGCTGCATCTTAATAGGCAGTTAGAAGGATTGGTTGAATGGTTACCTGGCCTGTATTTAGGGGCTTTGACTGACCTTAACCTCTGCTTCGGGTCACGTCTCCCCCACTTCCAGTTGACTCTTCATCTCAATTTGGGTCAACTGGCCATAAAAGCTTTGACAATAGGCAGTCCTTTTAATGGCTAGATGCTTTTTTTCTTGTAGGATCTTGTATTTTTTACCTTTGACAATCACCAGTGGACTGGCTTTGGGGTTTCCAAAGTGTTCTACTTTGTCCTTCAACTCCTACAGTAGTAGCCTTTCAAAATTTACCCACTTTCCTTGAAGGGCCCTTGGCTGGTTCCCTAAAATTCCTTCTAACCATCAACCTTTGTACTAAAATATTCTTTCTGTCATGATTTGTGGACATTAAGATCTAAAGAGAAGGGTTAAATCCTTGTCAGGCCCTTTATTTCAGTGAAAGGGTGGAGTCAGAGTAAAAAAATATGCACCCCAGGATAAGGAGGGGGTCACTCCAGTTGCTTTAAGTTTGAGGGTATTCGGCTGGTAGTTGCAGGGAAGTGGGCTGCTGTTTGGGTGGTGTTAGACTAGGAAGGGCCATTTTGAATGGCTGCTACTGTAGACAGTGATAACAAATTGACTTAATATTAGTTATTAACATGGCCCTCTACAAAAAGTTAACGCCCAAACCTAGAGATATGGGCATCAGCACCTCCAACTGCAACTGGTTAGCAGACTTACTGACCACCAGACCCCCTACGTGTTCAGTTATGTTTCAGATTCGCACGCCTCTGTGCTCTAAAACCCCCTTTTTTTTCCCTGGCTTGTGCTGCCTGGATACTCGTATCCCAGTAGTAACTGCGTCATCCAGCAATAAGCCAAAAAGAAGAGGAACAAAATGAAGAAAAAACTAATATTGTCTGTGTCTGGATATCCCAAACTATAGGACCCATGTTTGTGATTGGGTTGCTTTGGAAATGGATCTCTTTAAAAAGCTGGAACTCCTCAATCTGCTTTCAGGAAACACAGTTTTTTTTTTTAATACAAAGCCTTTTTGTCACAGTTTTAATTCTGAATATCAGGGCTAGTGCTAGCATTGTGCAGCTGAGAAAATAATTCACTGGACCTGCCAACCGGTGACGATAGTATCCTGTATTAGAAGGCTATCAGAAGTGGTGTACCACAGGGTTGTGTGCTAAGCCCCATCCTCTGCTGGGCTTTCATTTATTATTACGCACTTTTAAATACCCCTGACAGTATATATTTTTTTGTACTTTATATATTTATTCCTTTAATAACCAATATTCTTCTTCCTTCTTCCAGCATTTTATTATCATTACACTGTCATTACAGTTGGCTGCCATTGTGTGGTGCCCGGGGAGTAATTCAATTTATTTCTATAGCGCCAATTCACAACACGTCATCTCAAGGCACTTTACAGTTAAACCAGATCATCCAGTCAAATTGATTCAAAGTTTTCTATCTAAGGAAAACCAGTTGATTGAATCGACTCATTGACTCCCTCACACCAAACATGCTAACATTGACAGTGGAGAGGAAAAACTCCCTTTTAACAGGAAGAACCCTCCATTAGAACCAGGCTCAGTGTGAGCGGCCATCTGCTGAGGCCGACTGGGGTTCAAGGAGACAGAGGCAGACAGAAAAAGAAGCATAGATACAAAAGGCAACTCTCAACCAGCTCCACAGGCGGCCCCGTCCAGGAAACACACAGCCAGGCATAGCAGCTCAAAGCCCGCTCTGCAGTGTGGGGGTTAAGGGTCTTCCTCAGGGACCCAGAGTGGCAGTCTGTGGCCGTGGGGCCTCAGTATTCCAAGAACAATGCCCTAACCGCTAGATTGCCACTCCCCAAAGCAGGCATTAGCGTGAAGGGTCTTGCCTAAGGACTGGCAGCTAATTCCCCCCAGCTGGGATTCAAACCCAGGCTTCTAGCCGCCTAATATGCGGTTTTGGACATCTACTAAATATTGATTTACTTTCTTTGCAGGAAAGGTCAAGCTCAGTCAGATGAAATAGAATTTTTCTGTTGATTCTTCTACAGATTTAGGTCTCTGCTTTGACTGGGTCATTGCAACACATCGATATCTTTGGATCTGAAAGTTGCGGTGATTTATAGATCCTTCCCTTGTCCAAAAAACATGAGTGAAATGGCTTTTGAAATTTTATCAAATTTCAAAAAGTCCCAATTTGATGATTAATTTACTTTGAAGCAGAAACTGGTCCTAAATTCAGGAAATGGAGAAGATATTGAAGATAATGCTACGTTAAAATTAATCAATAAAAACATCTTTAAATCAAAATATATATTTTTTCATGTCTCTGTGCTTTTCTCTGTCGGCCGTTTCCTCTGAAGGAGCGATCTGTGTGCGCAGAACACTCAGCCCATCAGTTTTTTCATCTCATCTTCCACCAGTTTCTCTTTGAACAAAGGAGCCCATAGCTGTTGAAGAAGGAGTCGTATTACATCCTCCAGTCTCCTCCTACTCGTGTACGCCACGGACTACAACTTCCTGTTTTAGCCGTAGTATCTGATGGGTCACAGTCTTTCCTGTTGCACTGGAATTGTTGTGAAGTGGGATTTTCCAAGGACTTGTTTTACTTTTTCTCTGCAGCTGCATGTAGCTGTGGTGTTTTTGTTTTAAAAGGTGTTTGATGGATGGATCCAATTACAGCATGATAGTTGGCTATAAATAGGATTTTTTTCATGGCCAAGGTGTAAAATCAAATGCTTTGATTAGAAGTTTAATATAGATTAGATTAGATTCAACTTTATTGTCATTACACAGGTACAGGTACAAGGCAATGAAATGCAGTTTAGGTCCAACCAGAAGTGCAATAGCAGCAAGTCCAGGATAAATAATGGTTCTATAAGTACAGGACATGGGTTTCTACTGATATAAAGTAATATATTATATATTTTCAGTTAACTCTTTAGCCTAAAGCTTTTCTTCTTCTGATTTTGTATGCTGCTTTACCTTCCGTAACCTTCCTTGTAGGCCCCTTTCACACCTTGCCTGACGTCCCAGAATCCTCTAAAACGCTAGCCTGATCTCGCGAGCTTTCATGGTTTCACTCGCAGATAAGTCTGGAGACTCTCCCTTAAAGAAAATAGCCGTTCACCAAACGAACGTCCAATCAGCGTTGGCTTTGAGGCGGGTTGAGGTGTGACGCAATGAAAAGCGCGACAGTTCAGTCTAAAGAACATGGCAGTTTCAGCCGATGAAACTAGCGTTACCGTGGCTATCGAGCAAGTTTTATCGGAACTACAGAGTATTTCTTCACTAAAAGAAGAGCAAAACACTGCTCTGGAGGCTTTTCTCAGAGGAAAAGATGTTTTTGCTCTTCTCCCGACTGGTTTCGGCAAGAGTAGCCTGGCTTGTGGTTGTGTTTTCGTCGTCGCTCTGTTAGTACGTCATATGCTTCGTTGATCCGATTGGTTTATTTGGCCCGTCTATCACCAACATAGGCCAATCAGCTAACCAGTATTTTCGCCCCTTCCCAAAATTACTTCAACGGAAGGTTTCCAGATGGATATGCGGAGCCAGGTTGCTAAAACGCCCTACGCTGAACTTTCTATTAATTTTTTCAATTTTAAACGTATACATCATGTATTCATAATGAGTCCAGAGCGTATGTCCAACTACAGTCTAAATTGTGGGGACAAACTTGTCCTGAGGGGGGCAGCAGTGTGCCCGGAGGCGCCTGCTCTGCATAAAAAGAATGAATATTATTGAATGAAAATGTTAATATGTTTGAATGGAGAAACATGCACTGACTTTGGCTGATGCTTATAAAGAAAATTTTTTTGGCAGTTATCTGCCAAAAATATCAAATCTACCTCTAGTCTGAAGGATCTTTTCTCCTGATATTTTCCTGTTTTTTTTACTCCTACCTCCTTCCCGTCACATATTACCGTCTCTCTATACTCCGCTGAGGAACAGCATGGGCAAAGCATGATGCTTCCTCCACCGTGTTTCACTGTGCAGGTGGTTTATTGAATGAAGGGAATTAGTTTGTAAGGTAAAGACTGTGAAAACACTGTAGCTAGGTGCTGGTCACATCAAGTTTGATTTACCATCAGCACTCCATCGGAATTTAAATAAAATTAGATGCAGTAGGTTTTTGAATGCTCTCACCCTGCAGATGTTTTTACCTAACAGGGAGGCATCTGTATAGACCCAGGATTTTTCATTCTGGGGTGACGGTTAGACGACGAAAGGCTCTGACTTTTTAACCCAGCAAAAAGAAAACACAACAGAAATGTCGATAAATCTGTTTTGAAGGGAAAATCAGAAGCGCTGTACAGCTGCTGTGGGTTTTCAGGGTTTGTTCTTTCTCCAGCTTTGTTCTGAGCTCCCTGTGATTTTTATTTTTTCTCTCTTTTTCATTTCCAGCTACGGCGTCCTGCTGTGGGAGCTGCTAACAGGAGAGGCCCCCTACAAGGGGATTGATGGCCTGGCCGTTGCGTACGGAGTGGCTGTCAACAAGCTCACCCTGCCCATCCCTTCCACATGCCCCGAACCCTTCGCTCAGCTCATGGCAGGTAGGATTTTGAAAATAGATTTCACCCCCCGTCCGTTTTTGTGACGCTTCACTAGCTTGAAATCGATTCATCATCGTAGCCATCATATGATTTTTTTTTCTTTCATTTCCACAAAGCTGCACGGAAATAGAGGGAAAAAAAAAAGATTCATCTGTGCAGTTATTAAGGAGGGGAGGAAGTGTGTTGTTCTGCTTGTGCAATATGTTTGTATTCTTTTATTCATGCACCATAAAACAGACTTTTTCCCCAGTTTGCTCATTTATCTTTATTTGCCAAAATAAATAAATAAATAGAAATAAAGTCTGCCCCTCCGGTGGCTCCTCGATGATTATTTAATCAATGCATTGGTTTCTAATCTGCTTATTATGCCCAAAGATTTGCAGCAAATTACCCCAAATTCCCCCGTAGCAGCTTAATTGTCCAGAACTAGTTCAATAAGAGATCGGCTTATCCGTGGAATCGGCCGCCATAAACGCCTGAAACGTCAGCTGTTGCAGGATAACCACTAAACATCCTCCTGAGTGAGTCATTACGTCTGAATTAGGCCTTAAAGTCGGATCTGGCTGCTTTTGAGTCGAATTATTAGCGACTTCCTTGTTTCAGGATGGAAAGAAGTGAAACCGTTCTGGGAACCACTGAATCTGTCAGATTCTTTTTACTGTTTTAAGGAAGCAGCTTCACAAACACAGAAACTGTAAAGAAATACGTTGTGGATCCCTGTGTGTGTGTGTGACAGAATGCTGGGACCAGGATCCTCACCGAAGACCCGACTTCGGCTCCATCCTGACGCAGCTGACGGCTCTGGAGCAGCAGGTGAAGGAGGAGATGCCTCAGGATTCTTTCCACTCGCTGCAGGATGACTGGAAGCTGGAGATCCAGGACATGTTTGATGAGCTGCGGGCCAAAGAGAAGGTAGGAGGCCTGTGACCTTCGGTTAGCGTGCCGCCCTTCTATCACCTTAGAGGTAAACATTCTGGCTTCCAGCTGATCAGTGACAGTCAGACCCAAATATTTCACCCGTTTCCTGTAAATCAGGGGTGGAAATCACGCAGCTTCCTCTCTAAAGTATCTGGAGTTTCTGCTACATTTTTGGAAAGAATAGGTGGGTGATATTTATAAAGCAAAGATTCATACAGCCCGTCTCCTCTCCTACCTGTTGCTGCAAATTGCCCTCCAGCTGACTGAGAGAAAGCTGCTACATTTATTACAAGATAATGAGAGTTTTTGGAAATCTATCCAGGGGAAAACAACCGACTACAGGGTTTCCGCGGGACATTAGAAATCAGTCATTCAATTATTTTTTTAATTAAGGCCTTAATTGGCATTAAAATTAATTAAACGTGATTATAGCATTTAAAAGCTTTATAAAAAAATAAATAAATAAAAAAAAACAACAATACAGATTTCATAAGCTAGAGAATGGGAAAATTCAACAAAAATGGCTGGAAAAAGGAATTTGAGACATGGCTGCAGCCTGTCAACAGTAAAGATGATGAAGGATTTTGCTGTGTTTTTTTATATGTGTGTATTAGGGGTGGAACGGTTCACAAAATCCACGGTTCGGTTCACGGTTTCGTGGTCACGGTTTTCGGTTCGATTCGGTATATGTTGATTGTTACACCGAAATCCCATAAAAATTTATGAAATTAATGAAAAAAATTCAAAAAAATTAATCAATTGTAATTATTTTTAATGATCCGGTGAAACCATGGATCATTTCCGGATGCTTTGCTGCTTTGAATTTAATCATCATGCCCTCTACGATCTCCAAGGAGAGTCTTCCAACTCCTGTTCTTTCCCACTCGCCATACCCACACAATTCTCCACAACAACTGATTTTTCCTGCTACACCCGGCTACGCTGCTTCGCTTCTTCTTCTTCTTGTTTACTACTGGTGGTTGGCTTTGGTCGCAGTACCGCCACCTTCTGCTCTGGAGTGTAAACGCTTGCCTATGAGAAAAAGGAGCCTGTACTATCAACAACAACACTGCATTATAAAGAATTCTAGAAGGTAAAGAGGTATTATTGTAATATAAAAAAAATATATATATATATATAACTATATCAACTCTAATTTTTAGATACATAAGCCGGACAATATTTTTGGCCAATATTTGCTTTTTTGTTTTTAATGTATAGAAATCAGACGTTTAGTGCATTTAGCAGCCATGACTTGAGATTACATAAGACACATGCATTACCTTTCCCTCTATTTAAAATCCATTTTTGGTTTGATTGATTTGTTAATAAAAGTTTACTTTAGTTTTAAGTGATATTTTGATCATTGTGTCATTTCCATGTAAATAGAAGAAAAATCCTCCTAAATAGACCTAAAGATCGACAGCCCATATCAGGGATAAGTTAGACTGATGTCACAACAATCACTGTTGGCCCCAAAAAACCTGTATGGACATAACAGTTGCTATGATATGTACCTGCAGAAGTTCATGTCATACATCTCATGCTTTTCTTATATCATGCAGCCCTTTTCTGAAGCCAGTTAAGTTTGAATATGTTCTACAGAAATGCAGAAATGCAGTGTTTTTGATGATATTGAATGGGACTTATAAAGGTTGAGTCGGCTGTAAAACGAGCAGGTTTTCTGTTCACCTCCTATGTGGTTTAATGAAGCAGAGCATCCTTCCTCTGAAGACGTATTTCAATAGATGAGACCATCAGAAACAGCAGGTTAAAAAGTGTAAATATTAAACAATCAGAGAAAGTGACAAAAATCTACAAGCTAACTCTTGAAAACCACAATAACTGGATGAAAGGAAAGAAAAGCAGCTATATTTTAGTTGAGATATATATATATATATATATATATATATATATATATATATATATATATATATATATATATATATATATATATATATATATATATATATATATATACAGGGCTCCATGTTAACCATCGCCCGATCTCTCGGGGCAAGTAGTTTTTATTGTCGGAGAGTACAAATTTCATTGCATTTGCCTGCCGGACAAGTGCAATGATTGCAAAGAAAACAATTTATCACTCAAAATTACTTTCAAATCACCGATATTCGATGAAAACGACCCACAAGCGTTGCCGGCGCCAGTTTTATACACATTCTCGTGTGATTTGATAAAGCCGGGTGATTTTCCGCCAGATGGCGTGATTTTTGTCCACCTAGCGGTAATTTTGATGTAGTTACCAAAACGACAAACGAGCTAGAAAGCGCTATTATATGTCAGTCTTCTGTACAGTGATGCAGGTCATACAATAAAAAATGCTCATTAAATTTTTTTCTCTTAGACATTGGAGAGGTGCATTTAAATGTTATAGAGCTAAACATGTTAGATTGGTGACCTGTTATGTTATTATTATTGTTTTGTTGCTGCATTTATTTTGTCAGGGAAAACTAATCCTGAGTCAGTTAAAAGTCAGGGAATTCTGAAATTATGTAAAACTGTGGAAACCCTGTATAAAATAACTATGTATAATGATTCTCTAGAAAAGTCACATTATATTAATAGTATTATCTTGTATAAACATACCGTGACTCTAAAATAAAAGTTATTCATTTCTTGTGATTTATCTTAAGTTTTTAACCTGTCAAGTTTTTTTTTTTTTTTGATTTTTAGCAATTTATATTTATATTTTTCCAAGCACACAACAGTTTAAAGCAAAGTTTAGTTTGAAAAGAATGTGCAGGAAGGATTGAAAAGCATGTTAACACGGTAATGTAGGCTGGAGTTCATTATCTGACGCATGCATATACACACCAGGAACCTGGAAACTTAAAAAATACTGAATTACAAAAAACATTTAAAAAAACAAACATGTTTCATTGATATATATAAAAAAAATGAATATTAGGAACTATATTTATCAAACATTATACTGGGCAAGTAAAAAATTGTTTCTGGGCAAATGAAATGTAAAAGTCACTTGCCCAAAGGGCAAGTAGTAAAACGTCAACCCCTGATATATATATGTATATATAGATGGATATAATTTTTCATGCTGCTGTGTCGATTCTTTGCACCTCTGGTGAAATAGCCAGACTTTGTTAGATCCGGGATGAAAGCATAAAATAAAACCTAAAGTCATCACCTTTTGTGTAACTGCTATTAAACAGGTCTGCCTTGAACGTCTACAGCAGGACGGAGAGTTTTTCTGCTCCTCAAACTGGTGTTTTAAATGCGAATGTCGTGAGCTGAAAGCAAAGCTTGGGTTCAGGCCGGTAATGCTGGGAAAGGGCTTTACGAAGAACAGGAGTAACCTCTGGATGTATTAGAGGCTCTAACTCTGTTGTTTATTGTGAGCGCAGGTTGTTTTTCAGGCTGTTCCTTAGAAAGCAGTCCAACTGGAGAGCTGCAAGGGTTTGAAAGCTTTATTCTGTTTTTTTTTTCTAGACTAGAGAAGTTCTGCCATCTATTTAGTTCATTTGATTTTAACTGATCCTTTGATTCTTGGAAATGAAACGTGTATAAGTCAGACGGTCAAGAAACAAAGAACTCGTCCTTATTTAATCCTTACTTGAGTGTTTATTTTTCTAAGAACTTTTTACTTTTACTCCCTACATTTAAACACTAATATCTATACTGTTTATTTCATACTCTCCCCATTCTCTATACTTTTATTAATATGTGACATAACAGCATCAACAAAACAGAGATAAAACTAAGAGTACAAAGATGATCTGTGGGAAGAGCTTGTTTATAGAAAAACAATAAAAGACATGAGGACAGGGGGCTTGGAAACACTGCAGATTGATTCAACCAGAGCAGCCTAGATCAAAGCAGTCATGTGTCCGATTGTCTGATCGTCTTTGACAAAGTCCAGATAAAAATCTAAAGAGATAATTAGACTATTATGGCATATGAAGATATCTCTACTTTTAAGGCTAGGGTTAAAGTTTTCTTCTTTAACAAAGCTTATAGTTAGAGTGGCTCAGCTTATCCTGAGCTATCTCTATAGTTATGCTACTTTAGGCTTAGACTGCCGGAGGACATGGGGACCGTATTCCTCATTCTGCTTCATTCTATCTCTATTCTCCTCGTATGCAGTATTTGTTAGTTCCATCTTTAACTTTATGCTCTCTCTATTACCTGTTCTATCATAAAAAGTATTTATGGATTAGTGTTTTTTTTAAATTTTTTTAATGTCTGCTTCTGTCTTCCTGAACCCCAGTTGGCCTTGGCAGATGGTTGCTGGTACTGAGCCTGGTTCTGTTGAAGGTTTCTTCCTGTTAAAAGGGAGCTTTTCCTCTCTACTGTCGCTACACATATGCTCAGCGTGAGGGATTGCGTGAGTCGATGCATTTGGCTGGTTTTTTCTTAGATTGAAAATTTTCTGTATGATCTGGTTTTATTATATCTGTAAAGTGCCTTTAGATGGTGTGCTGTGAAATGGCACTATTTTAATAAACTGAATTGAAAAGAAGAATGTTCCGCAGAAAGAATCTAAGTCTGTGTCGCCATTTTTTTCTGTCCTCCATCAGGAGCTGCGTTGCCGTGAAGAGGAGCTGAAGCGAGCGGCTCTAGAGCAGAAGTCCCATGAAGAGTTCCTGCGGCAGCGGGAGCAGCAGCTGGCCCAGTGGGAGCAGGACGTCTTCGAACGCGAGCTCAGCCTCCTCATCCTCCACCTGAACCAGAACCAGGAGAAACCCAATGTCAAGAAGAGGAAGGGCACCTTCAAGAAGCACAAACTCAAGAGCAAGAACGGCGAGAAGATCAGCATGCCGCAAGGTTGGTTGGTTTCTGGAAAATCACAAAAACAAAGTTTTAACCTTTGATATAATTTGCAAATGAAATATTCTTTTTTTCATTTGCTCCCGTTAGTTTGACACCGCAGATGAACACTTATACTTTTACTCTTCAGCCCATGTGTCCCCCTGCTGTTGGCCACAGCCAGCAGCAGTTCCCATCCAGCGTTTCAATGCAGATCGGAGTGTATTTTGGGCTGAGCATGCATGCGTAAATGCGCTGTCTGTCTGTGCCTGTCAGTGTGTTTGTGGTCAGGCCTTTCCCAGCAACAGCAGCAGCAGCAGGGCGGTGATGTGGTGGTGGTGATGAGGGGGGGTTGATGAGAGGGGAGAGTGAGCCAACCACGCCTCGACGCTTCCTGTCCATAGATATACTGGCCTCTCCTTCACTCCGTTGCTTCCAGTCAAAACCTTGGACTCTTTTCTTTTTAAATACCTTTCTTTCCCCTGCAGTCTGTGTTTTTAACTTTCCGTCTTCAACCCTTTTATTTTCTCTTTTCGTTGCCTTTCCACAGTTGTTATTATGAATTCATTCTGCTTGCGTTGTTCCTGCATTTTGCAACATAAAGAAACATCAACAATTTTCTGGTTCTTATTGAAAATGATCCTTATATGCAAATTTATACCAGAATTGCCATAAACACCGTTTTCTATGTTCTTAGAGACAAAAAAGTTAGAAAGTTTGAAGTGAGAATAAATTTGAGATATATATATGGGGCCAAAATGGTAGCTTTAATATTTGCAAATGTGTGTGGAGAGTTGTGTGTCTGTATCTCGATTTGTGTGTGTGCAGTGGGATTTGAAAATGTGTAAATAAATCTGTAAATGTGTGAGGAGATTTGTGTGTCTGTACAACAATCTGCAAATGTGTAAAACTACTTGTGTGTAATCCGTTTTGCAAATGTGTAAAAAATCCACAAATCTGTATTCAGATCTGCAAATGTGTACTGAGATTTGCAAATGTGTAAAAAATCCACAAATCTGTATTCAGATCTGCAAATGTGTACTGAGATTTGCAAATGTGTAAAAAATCCACAAATCTGTATTCAGATCTGCAAATGTGTACTGAGATTTGCAAATGTGTAAAAAATCCACAAATCTGTATTCAGATCTGCAAATGTGTACTGAGATTTGCAAATGTGTAAAAAATCCACAAATCTGTATTCAGATCTGCAAATGTGTACTGAGATTTGCAAATGTGTAAAAAATCCACAAATCTGTATTCAGATCCACAAATGTGTACTGAGATTTGCAAATGTGTAAAAAATCCACAAATCTGTATTCAGATCTGCAAATGTGTACTGAGACTTGCAAATGTGTAGATCAATCTGTAAGCACACACAGAGACACTTGTGTCTGAAGTATTTTCGCTTCAAGACCCAGAAATACAGACAAATCATTGGTTACAAGTCAAGCGTTTTTCGGTTGGCTCTCTTTACACACGTGATTTTTGCTACTCTTCTGCCGCGTGAGATGCACAAATGCGTAGAAGGATTTGTATGTGTATTTTTGCGATTTGTAACCCCTTGCGCAGGCTCGCAGGCTCACATGCTGCCCTGACCGCAGGCTCGCAGGCTCACAGACAGCCTCTACCTTTTTTTTTCCTCCGCTGCGGGAGTTGACGTGACAAGGATGATATTGATACCATTCAGTAAGGAAAATTTTTTATCTATTATTAAACAAAAGGTTACGGAAAGATGGCAGAAGCTGTGGGAAGAGCATAGAACTGGAAGTTGGCTTTATAGTATTCAAAGGAAAATTGGTGAAATGAGGAGAACGGAAAGGAATAAAAAAGAGGTTATATCTAGATTAAGTTTCGGAAACACGGGGTTAAATGGAAACTTATTTAGAATGGGAACAGGAGGTTGTGGTTTTTGTTATCAAGGGGAGACGGTGGAGCATGTTTTGTTGTTTTGTTATAAATATTCTATGGAGAGAAGGGTTACAAGAAAATAAATTACAGTTAAATATACAAGATATTTTGGGGGAAAAAATCTACTTATGATTATTTTTGTAATTTGATAAACAATCTTGAAAAAACGAAATTGGTAGAAAGGATATAAGTTTATTTATGTAAATATTGTTAATATTTATTTTTATTTTTCAGTGGGAAAATACATAGCATCCCGATCCACACTTCACTGAAGTAGATGGTGGTAATGCACTTCATAAAGTTGCTTGCCAGCTGCCATAAAACAGAAGCAGAAGAAGAAGAAGAAACAGTTTTACTAATGCAAACTATAGAAAAAATTAAAGAAATATACTTACAGAAAGCTGACGGGATTCCATTGCTCTCAACTTAGCAGGTACAACCCCTAGGACCCCAGTAACGTCACGTACTGTACAATACCGCCAACTGGTGGTATGTGGCTGTATGTGAAGCAAGTTGTGCTGAACTGTCGCAGCAGAGAGAGAGCTGTGAGCCTGCGGTCAGGGCAGCATGTGAGCCTGCGCAAGGGGTTACAAATCGCGAAAATACACATACAAATCCTTCTACGCATTTGTGCATCTCACACGGCAGAAGAGTAGCAAAAATCACGTGTGTAAAGAGAGCCAACTGAAAAACCGCTTGACTTGTAACCAATGATTTGTCTGTATTTCTGGGTCTTGAAGCGAAAATACTTCAGACACAAGTGTCTCTGTGTGTGCTTACAGATTGATCTACACATTTGCAAGTCTCAGTACACATTTGCAGATCTGAATACAGATTTGTGGATTTTTTACACATTTGCAAATCTCAGTACACATTTGCAGATCTGAATACAGATTTGTGGATTTTTTACACATTTGCAAAACGGATTACACACAAGTAGTTTTACACATTTGCAGATTGTTGTACAGACACACAAATCTCCTCACACATTTACAGATTTATTTACACATTTTCAAATCCCACTGCACACACACAAATCGAGATACAGACACACAACTCTCCACACACATTTGCAAATATTAAAGCTACCATTTTGGCCCCATATATATAGACCAATATTTTTATCTTCTTTACTGATTGATCTGTGCATTCAGCACCCTTAAAGTCATGAAAAATACTGCAAAACAGGTCAAAAAATAACCTAAAAATCTTTAGTCCTGTTTCTCTCCTAAATGCAGCCATGGGCTCAGCTTTTACTATGACTAACTGGATGTCAGTCATATAATTGTTGCTCCTAAAATAGAAAGTAGATATCATGCACTTTAAAAAAAGAGAATAGAGCTTTTTTCTCCTTGAAGTTTCCTACTTACCTGCTCAAATAAAGCGAAATAGACTTATAATTCAACTTTTTGCAGTGATGCTGCTCCTCCCATTTGATACAATTTTTTTCTTTGATTACATTTTTTCTTTTGTTCCATTTATGTTAAAGTAGTAGGGAAGTCATATTTAAATTTCAAATCATTCTGGCTTAAACATGCATACAAATGTACTCTTTATTAGATGAAATTGTCCCAAAAGTTAGAAAATTTCCACAAAATCTGTGTGGGGGTTTTTCTCGTTATTTTATGCAGGCCAGTTAGTTATACGTCAGCCTGAACACCTAAATTCGGCCAATGAATCAAGATGCTATGATCGAAAAAATTAGATTGACCTTAATCATTCATGGCCATCAGTCATTCACATTTTTTCGGACATAGCATCTTGATTCATATGTCGCACCTAATATACGCAACGGTTGAAATGAGAATCCTTTCCTTTCCCATTGAGTTCCGTCCCAGTGTTCATGGGGATGGACGTCTGTGTCTTCGGCAGGCGTAGAGCTAACAGAACTGGCAGCGTTGCGAGGCAAGGGCTCAAACATGTACGGCTGGAAGCCTTCTACACCAAACCAAGCTTCTGCCGCCCTGGCGTCCTCTTCCACAACATCTTCGTCCCCGCTTTCCTCCTCTAAATAAAAAATGGATGATGGAGGAGACTCATCCACGACCTCCGACACTAAACTCTCCTCCTCTTGCATGTTTCCTCTGTCCATAGCGTTCCTTGACAGTGTCGTTGCTAACTGCTACTTGGTCCCAATGGAATTTCCCATTGGGAACCTACTAGCACTAAGTTGCTAACTGGTTAGCAAGATGCTTCTGACAAACTGGCCGCAATCAACATTCCTTGCAAACCTTCCGACGCAACAATCCCGCCCCCTTGATAATCGACCAATCATATTCACTTTATTCATTCGTGTAAAGTCAGGCACCACTCGGGAAAATTCGGAACTGCAACCGTAGGAACAGCCGCTTCCCTACGACTTTAAGACTGTTGTAACATTTATTATCCTTTTACCCTTTTATCATGTAAATGGAGAAAGAGAAAGCATTAACAGCCTAGAGAGAGGGACCAGCAGCACATATCAGATCGGTTAGACTCATGTCAAAATAATCAGCATCGGGATTGGTCGATCTTTAAAAATAAATGTAGAACTTAATAGAATAAACAAAAAGCATGCTATCTTGTTAGTTATCAACACATTATACAACAGAAACCAGATTTGAAGTACCAGGCTGCCTTAAACCCAGCCTGAGGTCCGGTCTTTAAAACCTGCTGTTCTGCTACTTTTAGAAGCATCTCTTTCCCAAATAAAGCCATAAACGAGGCAGCACAGAGGGATGAGGTGGAATTCAGTATCTTGCCAAACAGATATTGAAAAGCATGATCAAGACGGAGTTAGTTTGGCTCTGAAAACATCAGTGGAGCACATCAGATAAGGTTAGGATTCAAAGAAATCTAGTGTTTAAACAAAAAGGTTTGCAGATTAGGAGTTTAATAGACACAGATGAATAAATATCTACATTTATTGGGAAGCACCACACTGGGTACTGTAGTTTTTTTTTATCATGACAACAAAACAGCAGGGCACTTATTGATTAACGAGAGAGGAAATATATGAGAAACACAAGTTCTTATGTTTGGCAAAGAGAAAGAGGGAAAATAATAATAATTCATATTTAAAGGTGCAAAAAATATTTTAATATACATGGAAAGACTTTTCTTTTCTATCTCAATGTGGAACAACAACAATTGCAGAAATATACAAAAAATAGTTGTTTTTGGTATCATATCATGCCCAATTATTAATGTTTCTGGATACATTTGATACTTGCTAGCTAGCTAGATAGCCAGCTAGCTAGATCCGTGTTGAGTACTGCTGCTAGCGTAGCATCCCTAAAATGACATTGTAAAGAAGATTCTGGAAGGCTAATGTTTGTCTAATTTTAATGTTGGGTATTCCGTAAAACGAAGCTTTACTTCTTTCTATACATGAAGAACTGAGGTTTTGTCAACTTGCTGTGACAGTGTAATGACTATAAAGTTGGATTTTGCTTGGCAAAATAATTTCTACCCCATTTGTTTTCCTTCATGCATTATTGTGTGATTTTTAACCAAACATTGGTTTTAAAGGCAGAACTGCACCATCTGTAAGCTAGGCCCGTTGTTATAAATAACGGGAGCTACATTAGCCACAAGACATTGATAAGAAATGTTTGCATGAAAGATCATCATCATCGGTTAAATGCAGGACAGATGACTGTTGGTGAGGTCATGGGCGTAGGTCTGCATAGGGACCATAGGGACATGTCCCTACCAAAATTTTGGACCGACCTATTTGTCCCTACCAATAATTCGATATGAACAACAACATATTTATATAACATGTTTATAATTTACAATTCAGCGTGGTGGATCACACACAGCCATTGTGTGTGATCACAGCCAATTCTTTTTCTCTCGCAGCTCAGTAGTTGCTGCTGCCGCTCCGTCTGAGTGCTGCCTGGTCTTTCCTGTCCTTTAAATCAGTAACTGTGCTGTCTAACTCCACTCTCATTGGTTGTTCTGCCTCAAGTCCCGCCTTATGTCTTCCTGATTGGCTGTTTTCTAGTCCGTATGCGTGTGTCCGTGCTTGGAGCACGAAATAAGAATTTTATTCACGCCGATTCTTAGACACAGCTGACTGAAAAAGAAAATGTAAAGGTTTCCCTTTTAACAATTCTTAATTTCAATTACTGTTTTCATTTTATGACCCTTTGAGGCAGTTCAGCTATAAATAGCAGGTGTTATTTCTTTTATAGAGTGTAACAACACGAGATGGTGCATTAACATCTGATATTTTTTGTTTAAAAAGCATAATTACGTTTTAACTTATTTTAAATATTTTTACATTACAGACAAGATGGTGTTATATTTTATTTTAATAATTGTTAAAAGTTAATTTAGTTCATTCCAACATAATGAACTAAATTCTTAATTTTGTGTTTTGTAGATGATGCCACTAAATGTAAATACAGTAAATATATTTGCAGTCCGTTGAAGGTGTTATTTTGCATTGTTCCATGATACAGAGAGAGCATTTAAAAAATAAGAGTATGTTTCACCTGTTTACCTTTGCACAATTATATATCTTCAAAAGAAAATACAGGATAAATCCACATATAACGGCCATATTTAGACTATATTTGGTTAAATTGGCACATATTTACCTACTGTCTTAGTCACTGGTAAGTTGAAATTCAAACCTTTTCAAAGTGGAAAAAAGTCCTAATTCCACATTAATCAGAGCCAGTGACGCTTCAAACATTGATAAACAGCATCTAGTGTGTGTAGTGCTTATGAGATTAGTATAAATTTAGCAAGAAATGCTGCTTTTCTCTTTAAACAAAATGCACCCTGATGCTCACGTCAAGCATAAAAAGCATGCATGCATATTTTTGCATAGGTAAAACGACATTAATGAAACTTAGGACCAATAGTGTCCCTACCAAAGTGGAAATCAAACCTACGCCCTTGGGTGAGGTTGCATTAGTGGCTCTATGCTTTTTCTGAGTGGGTCCATTTAGAGGATAAGATGAAATTAAATAAACTGATACTGTAGGAATTTTCCTTATATTGAATATTAAGTTGAGGCCAGTCATACGTCCAGCATTTAGCAACTACAGCCACTTGTTTTTCTAAGTTTTAAGCCGTTTGACACGTTTAGAAGCAGTGCTGGATTATTACAGGGAATTCCCAGCAGGATGAAGATCTCTGTCAGCGTTCAGACTGTGGCTTCAATTGTTTAACAAACTGTTTTCTTTTTTTCTTTTTTTCAGATTTCATCCATAAAATTACAGTGCAGGCGTCCCCAGGCCTGGAAAAGAGGCGTAACTCTCCAGATTTGGGTTCAGGCTCCTCGCCTTCATTCGGCCCACGGTTTCGTGCAATTCAACGTGAGTGGAGATATTTTTAACCCCCCCCTCTAACAGACACATAGACAATATACACACACAGGAAGGAGTGGAGGCCTTTGCTGAGTTACGAAGGTGTCGGCGCATTCAGCTGCTGTTGCAACATCTCTGTTTCTGAACTTCATCTCCTTTTCATGTTATCTTAAACACACTTCTTTTGTCTTCCCCCGTTTCCCTGTGGGCCCCCTGTCCTCTTTTCCTCTCTTTCCTCCCTCCCTGCTCTGTCTCTCACACACACCCTTTTCCCTTCTCTATAGTCCGCTCCAGTCCAAATATTATCTGACTTCCTCTGAGCTGCTCTTTTTTTTTTTTTTTTTTTTTGCAACCACCAACTGCAGACCTCTGCTCCCTCCGTCTGCAGTGACTACAATGCAGCAGAAGGGGGAGCCATTCAGCCATGCTTCCTAAGCAGATTCAGTTTTATATGCATGCTGCAGCCACTGTGCAGTTTACTGAATTAGAAATAAGCTGGAGGGGGGGTGATTCATTCCTCTATTGGAAGGGATTAAGAAGGGTTGCAGGCACCTTAGAGACTTACAGCAGTGGTTCTACTGGGGCTCCGGGACACACGTCCTTCAATTTTACTGAAGGGATTTTCCAGCATGTCTGACAATCTCTCCATACTAAAGGGAAAATATTAATAACAGGTAATAAAAGGGATTTCACTAAACAGCTGCTGAAGAGACAATTAAAAAGCACCAGTTGTTGTAAGAAATAATCAGCCAAAGTGTTTTTTTTTTTTTTTTGGGATCTAACTGATCTGCCAGCTCCATTTAATCCTAAATTAGTGGTTTGACTTTTTTTGATTTCCAAATGACTCTCTTTAGTAGAAGTTACTAAACCAAGAACGGAGCTGCCATTAAAAAAAAAAAATGTAATAGCTTAACGTGTTTGTACGGAAGAGGATTAGGGCCACTAAAAAAAAAAAAAAAAAAGTGAACTGATTTTTTTATTTTATTTCAGTTTAATATGGCAAAAAAGTCAGAATTCTGAGATTAAAGTCAGAATTCTGAGAAAAAAGTCAGAATTCTGAGAAAAAAGTCAGAATTCTGAGAAAAAAGTCAGAATTCTGAGATTAAAGTCAGAATTGAGAAAAAAGTCAGAATTCTGAGAAAAAAGTCAAATTCTGAGATTAAAGTCAGAATTCTGAGATTAAAGTCAGAATTCTGAGATTAAAGTCAAAATTCTGAGAAAAAAATCAGAATTCTGAGATTAAAGTCAGAATTCTGAGATTAAAGTCAGAATTGAGAAAAAAGTCAGAATTTTTAGATTAAAGTCAGAATTTTGAGATTAAAGTCAGAATTTTGAGATTAAAGTCAGAATTCTGAGATTAAAGTCAGAATTGAGAAAAAAGTCAGAATTCTGAGAAAAAAGTCAGAATTTTGAGATTAAAGTCAGAATTCTGAGAAAAAAGTTTTCCCATGTTCAACTGAAATAAAAATAAAAATCAGTTAACTTTTTTTTTTTTTCAGTGGCCCTAATCCTCTTCCGTATGTTTGCCCTGTTAGAAGCCCTCTCTGGTTATTTATGTGGAAAAACACAACGAGCACCAGTGTTACATTATTGGACAAATAAGATAACAAGAAATTCAAACAGTACCTTATTCTTTTATGTGTCCTAATGGGCATTTCTATTTGCAGCTTCCAGGTTAGGTGATTGTGTTGGAAGCTAGCAGATATTTCCTCTGGCATTTAATATTTGCACGTTTGCAGAACAAGATGAAGTCTGTTTTTTTATTTTTTTTAGTCGTTATATTGCTATTTTCATTTCAATTTTGCTCCATCGCCTCCCTCTAGCTTATGGTAAGTGATTGCAAACAAAACAATCAGCTAAGATATTCTGATTTTTATTAATGAAAGTGCAAAAATAAGACAGAAAACAAACCTCTAATCAAGTAAATATGGTCTGAATAATACTATTTCCAAGCTGGATGATGATGATGATGATGATGAGAAATACGTTAAAATATAACAGGAGGAAATAAAAGAATGGGAGACGTTTGGAAACCAGCAGTCTGATCATTATGAAATTGCAACACACAGACATCATTTCCTAAATGATGTGTTGCCGCATGCGGCGATATAAGTAGCACTATTGAACCGTTTCTTTACCGGTACTGAAACTAAATTAACTTTAGAGTCAAAATAATTAGATTCGCCACAATTATTGTTATTTTTTTCTGCCCAATATTTGAAATCCATAGCAGTCTGCTTGTTTTTTAAAATCATGCACGGTCGCTACCTGAGTAAAGGTGGCATTAAACAGCACGCTGACGTCGAGCTTATTTTTAATCAGCTCCGACGCTGCAGCAGACAACCTGAGGTTGAGTTGTTGGCTGCTAATGGCGCGGAGCTAATCATGTTACGCATTACAGCTGAGTTTGGATCAAACTGTGGCAGCTGCTCGCTGTATTCAGTGTAGAAGCATAACTGGCCTTATCCCCTCATAGTTGAATGAAGCATCAGCTCATGTTTTGGGGGATGTTTTCTTTCTCTAATTGAAAATCGATTGCTTTAGCACGGTTAGTATGGAGTTAATTTAGTTCCATTATTACTGCAAACAAAAGAAAGAGGGGGAAAAAATACAGCAATTCAATTAAATTTAGCTAAATTTAGCAAGTTAGTGTCAACTGAGAGCTCTTTATCGCCACCTATAGGGAAACTCTGAACTCCAAAACGAATAATTTTCTCAGCGGTGTTTTTCCGGAGTCCTATTGGTTCCCTTTCCTCAAACATTGCACGCTTTAACCCGGTCTGTGGTTCTGTTATTTTGTAATCTTTATCCACTGACCAGTTTAAGGTTAAGTGGAACCATCAGAAAACCGTCACTGATTTCCTCCTGCTTCATTCTGTCTCCAGTCAGTCCCAGCGACAGCAGCAGGACGTTTGGGCTCACCCCGGTCCGACCTTTAGAGACCCCCTCTATCAAGCAGTCCAATGGAGACCTGAGGTTGAACCCACACTGGAGGCCCCAGAGCCCAAAGAGTCCAAAAAGCCCGAAAGTTCTGCGGCTGAGTCCTCAGGAAAGCAGGTACAAGAGAACTTTAAACCATTAGCAAAGGATTAGCTAGTTTATTTGACATAAAAATAATATATATAACAGACAAAACAGAAAACAAAAAAAGAGTGAAAATTTCTGCTTCCAGTTTGTCGATGAGGGCCAAGCTGCTGGGGTCAGACAGCAACGAGAACGGAGACTCCATGGATGACTTTGAGGAGTACCGCCCCCCCACACCGACCCCAGCCTCCTCTCAGAACGGTACCCCTCCCTCTTCCACTCTTAGCTGCCATTAACATTCACAAGAGTCTGGAAGTGTGAATTAGAAACCGAAGCTGGATGAATAATAAATATGTTGAACTCTTTTTCTTAAAACTTTCTCTTTCTGCAGGCTCCTCATCCAAGGACAGCCTGCGGCTTCCTCCCTCTCAGGGAGACTCCGGCAGCGAGGAGGGGGGCTACTCTCCGGCCGGCTCCCCCATGCCTGAGAGGGGTTCTCTTGGCAGCATGATCAAGAACACACACCGGGCGTTGCTAGGTTGCGGCTCCCTCTTGGCCTCCGTGGCACTCGGCCGAGGCTTGGATGTCCCCCCTCGGGTGCCGCCTCGAACTAACCCCCCATCCTCCGAGGAGCGCGCCTCCTTTGAACTTGAGATCTCCCACCCTAGACCTCTAATAACAGACCCCCCTGTGGTGGACGACCTGATTACCTTCTCCACCTCTGAGCCGCTCCCTAGACCCCTGTTGGATTTAGCCCTGCAGTACCAAGAGCTGAAGCCGCTGCCCCTGGCGCCGCCTCCTCCAAATCCCAGAGAGAGGTCCGGACCTCGAACGCCGCAGACGCACCACAGCCCGACGAGTCCCGGGACCCCGATGCAGCAGGACGGAGCCGTTCCAGCAGACTGGACCGCTAGTTCTGGTTCCAGCAACGGAGAGCTGAGCAGCGATGGATGGGAGCACAGACCCGACAGGAGGAGGAGGTCCAGCTACGGCCTGCATGCTTCTCAGTTAGGTCAGTGTGTTTCCTTCCCTTTTCAGTTGGAGGCTCTATGCCTGAACAAGAGATTGCATCAGATTGCAGGATGTTTTTCTTTAAAGTTTCATCTCTTCCCCAGATTGGGTTTTAAATATTTTTTTTTGTAATTGAGCTTCACAATTCATCTGCGGTCCCTGACTGAACTCTGAAATCTGAATCCGGCTTTAACCTTGAATTATGCACCTTCCCAGCATAACAATGTTCCCGAACACCACTCTCATTGTCTTCCTCTTCAGATAGACTTTTTTTTTTTCCTTTTTCATTTAACTGCAGGAGCTTTTTCATTTGCATCAAAGCTTCTCCGCAGCCATTTGCATATCTCAGGTAGCAGCTGGCCCTCGCCGTACTTCACTGCTAATACTTGCTAAGCAGAGCAATCGACCTTTTTTATTTTTCGTGCTGTTTTCACTCTTCCAAGATTGACTTTCCTTTCGTTGAATATAGTTGAGGACGAGTGCAGCACATTGGACAGAATTGAGGCAAATTCAGTGCTGCTGATTTGTTCGGTCTGTCTGCAGGATGGGCGGCCCGAATCGGGCTGGAGTAAAATCTTCACATCACACATTTCATTTTTTTAGACCCACTTTTGCCGCTCACCTCACTGTATGATTCTTTTTTTTTTTTTTTTTAGCAACACAGTTTTTTATAATACAATTCATTTTATTTATATGGCTCCAATTCACAACACATCATCTCATTGCACTTCATAGAAGCACACTTGGGTTTCAAGGAGACAGAAGAGACAGAAAAAATGAATATAGAAGTACGGATCCATAAATAGAAGTCCATGAGAGAAACGGGACTAAAGGGTAAAAACGGGCCCAACTCCACCCTCTGTAGTTAAAATTGTTTCGAGCTGATGTTTCGATCCAGGGTGGTGGCTAGGGGTGTAAATCACACCCATCATGGCGATTCGATTCAGTATCGATTTCCTGACCCAACGATTCGATTATTTTCGATACTCAAGAATACACCACGATACGATTCAATTTGATTAATTTGTTCTTTTTTTTCTTTTTTCCAACTTAAAGGCTAGACAATGTTTCAAATTTGAAATAAATCAATGAAAGCTGTAATATTGTTATGCATTTTTTTTTTTAGAAACAACAGCAAATAACAGAAGTAGAAAAGTTGCATCAAAAAATACTACAAAAATACTGCACATGATCAGTGCAATGAGTGCAATGCAATACCTCGGCTCCAGACTACCCCGCCCAAATTGTAGCTGACCGCAGACAGTGCATCAGACAGAGGCCGGCTTGTTTTGTTTTTATGACCGAAATTGCGGAAAACAACTCGTGAAGTTTGACCCGCTAGAAGAGCGAGGTGCACGAGAACGCTGGGACCCTTTTTCCACCTGGATCTCCGCTCTTTTTGGCCCTCATGTCCCTCCGTCGTCGGACTAAACTCACCCCCACTTCCTCGCCGCCTCGGCCGTATCTAGACCCACAGTGTGTAGCACAGACCACGCTTCAATATTGAGCATAAATAAAAAATGTCTGTGTCAAGCTCACTGCAACACACTGCTGTAAGAGTATAACCAGGAAGCGAGGTAGGAGGGCAAAATAGGTTTAGCGCCACCGCAGCACGGGAGGAGAATTACGCCCAGGAGCAAATGGATGAAAATAGACCAGAGGGAAAAAAAAACATAAATCGATACTATTGTGGACGAATCGATGCATCGGATCGTCGGCTGTTGGATCGATGCATTGATACAAAACGATTATTATTTACACCCCTAGTGGTGGCACAGCCACCCAGAGTCCAGAGGAATCTACTGAAGCTGTGTTTCCATTAACTACTTTAAATTTCACAAATTGTAATTTAGGAAAACTATTTTTTTAAATGGAAACTCCCATTTTTCTAAATGTCAACGATTACATTTCCAAAAGCTCCTATGGCAACTTCTTTTTTTTCCTGCATTGTACAAGTCACCTAATCTGCAACGGGACTTTACTGCCTTGTAAAGAAATGGAGAAGACCACAAGTAGTTGGAGGATAATGGCCTGTTTGGATTCATACGGAGACTGAGGCCGTTTCTTAATTCAAGGGAACACGGAGTACGGACTCGCATCCTCTCCAAGTATGTTCTTGAGAAGAACACAGGAAAGTGTGGACTCGGGGAGAACGGGAGCACGCACCATAAATATGGGTCAATTGGAGCAGAGGCGTACTCGTGACGTCACCATACCACTCTAGATAATAATAAATTCTTACTTTTTTCATTTAGTGGGGGAATAATAGTTAACACAGTCAGATAAACATAAATAAAATTAATATTTTCCCAAATAAAACCAAAAAATTACCATGAGGGCCAGCGGTACTTTACACATGGCTATGCAGAGAGAGGCTGCTGCCGACGGGCTAACATTGCGGTTAGCCTCGGAGGTTTGCTGGTTGCCGCGGTCCTCTCAACATCTGAACTTTTTTTTTAAATTACGCACCAAATCAGTAAATGGGCCATATAGTGACGCTTAAAAGTATAATCTCGCCTCAAATTATCTAAAAAAATACTTTTATTGAACAACGGCAACGTAAAAAATAACTTTTAACTATACTCTGAGCTCTGTTAGCGGTCCATTGGTAGCTGCTGCGGTGCATGCTGGGATAGCTGTCAATCTGGAGAATGGACAACTCTGCTCTGATGCATGCTGGGTAAAGAGGGAGGGGCGAGAACAACATCTGTTTTTTTGTTTTGTTTTTTTTGTTCCCAGCCGTTTCTTGTGAATTGGAACTGCACTAGGACTGAGGCTGATGACGTTTCACGAGTACACGAGCAAATTAGAACGCACAAGTACGCATATTGAGAAACATCGCGTGTATTTTTGCGATGATGACTTGTGGATGAAATGTGGATATATCTTTTGTGTTTACTTTTTATGCTGCCATGTTGTTTTCAAGAGATATGTTGTTAACAACTGTATTTATGTGCAGTTTAATTGCAATTATTATTTAATGGAATTGCAAAAATTTGTGTTTTTTTGAAACTGTCAGAATAGCGAAAGTTTTACACACATCTGTTATAGAAGCTCAACTTTTGATGAGCAAAAGAAAATATAAAGTTAGGGGTTGAACTGCCAGATTACATGATAAATATGAGCCTGGTTCTGCTGGCGATTTCTTCTTGTTAAAAGGGAGTTTTTCCTCTCCACTGTTGCTGGAAGCATGCTTTTTTTTTTTTTTTTTTTTTTTTTTTGATTTTCATTTCTTTTTTATGGAAAAATGTTAGTTATATTACAGTTATTTAAATGCCCAGAGGGAGAAACAAACAAGAACAGTTTGGAGACAGCAGAAACAAACACTAAGGAAGGCAACTGCAACTTAACCAAGAAAGAAACGGGGAAAGTGGTCGGGTAAAACGAGATGCCCGCTGTGGGATTGGCGTTAAGAGGGAGAATAAATACTGCAGATGTCGTTAACACGAGAAAAACAGAAGGACGAACAGAGGAGAAGCATTGTCGTTCTCCTCTTCTCTTCTATTTCTGTCCTTCGTGGTACTTTAGCAGCATCTGGACCGAAACTTGTGGCAAACATCTGCAATCAACCAGAGGTTTTTAAACGCATAAAAGAGCAGATGAGCAAGCAGTGGGTGAGTTTCTTCAGCTGTGTGACCAGTGTGAGAAAGTGCTTCATGTTCACAAACACACAAATGACGACATTTAAAAAACAGCAAACCAGGGATTTTTTTTTTTTTTCCTCCATACTTAAAATTCACAATTTTACTACTTAAATACATGTTTCTGTAAGTATACAACATCTCAGAGTAATATTTAGTAGCTTAAGTGGCTCACATAGTATAAACATTCAACAGGCATATTAAACCTTGGCTGGTGGTGTTAAAATTCACATCCTGGCTCTACAGCTAAGCAGGTAAGAAACTATTATTGTAGTTTGCTACAAGCATGCTTAGTGTGAGGGATTGCCTTCGAGTCAATGAGTCGACTCAATAAACTGGTTTTCCTTAGATAGAAAACTTAAATCAATTTGACTTTATGATCTGGTGAACTGTAAAGGGCCTTGAGATGACATGTGTTGTGAATTGGCGCTATAGAAATAAACTGAATTGAATTGAATATAGAATGAAGCCGAATGATGAAATGCTGTCCCTATGTCCTCCAGCAGCTTAAGCCTATAGCAGCATAACTAAAGAGATTAAGTCATGATTCCTTAATCTGGAAGAACAGGAAACTGCTGTCCCCTCATTAAACAATAGCAGCATATTTTTATTCATCAAGGAGAATAAGAACATTATACAGAGCCATACCTCTGAAACTGCATGAACTATGTTCATAACTTTTAAATATGATGGAAAATAAGTGACTTTTATTTTAACTCAACAGCTAGATTTGTATTCAGCTTTGCTGAGTAGAATTATTTGAAATAATTCGTTTTTTGTGAGAATTTGGACAGAAAAGACTGAAATACTCCCCAAATAAGTAGTTTTCCACTCTGTGGTTTCTTATCATCATCATATTTGTGGACTAACACAAATATGTCCTTGTTTCCTCACTGATTTATGCCATCCCTGCCTGTCCTATCAGTTTAGCATGGCGGTCAAGTCTTTGTAGGTTAGCAGTTGTGCCAGGATGGATAAGAGCTCTTGTCAGAGGTTGGGAATATTGTTTCATAACCAAACCCTGCTTTAAACCTCTCGGCTGTTTTCTCCCTGACACATCTGGCTTTCACCGCTCGCTTTGTTCTCCTAATGTTCTGTAACAAACCTCTGAGGCTGAATGTGTAATAAGACTCAATTAGTTTTTTTTTTTTCCAGTGGATTTATTTTCCATGAGTCGATGCAATCAGCTGGTTTAGAAAACGTTGAACAACTCTGACTGTATGATCTAGTTGAATTGTCTCTGTGATGTGCATTGGGACGACGTGTGTTTTGACTTGGCGCTATTTAAAAAAACTGGACTAAATTGAAATTGCATTATTTTTGACTCCATAGAATAAATGAGGCTAAAGAGGATGATTGC